GGGTCTCTTGTATTTATTTCTCAAACGTCTCCTAAGTTCAAAAGTGACAGAAAGGTGATCGTCTTTCCCGGTTAGAACGGAACACTGGAAATCTCCGTGCTATTTCCACTCTTTTCTTTCTCCCAGTCTTCTTTGAAGATAACTGCGCGGTCTCTGTTGGAAACATACAAGTCTTAATAGCCTTCTCTATCGGTTGGTTAATAATTTTGGAACCTTTGTATTATTCAGAGTATTAAGCAGCCATAGTTTCTTACCATGCCAAGAATTCTCAGTGATTAATTAATGATATTTCTTGTGTCTAGCAATACTTATCAGCAAAGGGCATTGTTCATCGAGATCTTGCCGCTCGCAATGTCGTAGTCTGTGACACCAACCTTGTCAAAGTCGCTGATTTTGGTTTGCGGCGAAACAGGGACACTCAAATTGCAGTGAAATGGATGTCACCTGAAGCCATGAATGATGGTGTTTTTACTGAAAAAAGCGATGTGTAAGTGAATTGAGTTTTCCATTTACCTTCTATGTGGCCAGTGTCACTCGGATAGTAATCCTTCATTTCACCACCACAGTAAGCTAAGTTATGGGGTAAAGCAATTTTTTCCAGGCGATGAAATTGTAAATCTACTAACAAAGAAGGGTTTACATGTACGTCGGCAAAGGGGAGGTGGATGAGATAACATTTTCGCTAAAAGTTTCCGCTAGACGTAGCCTGCGAACGCAGACAGCCGGAAATACGTCCGCTTTCACAAACCACTATGAAGTCACGATTAAAAAAAATGAACACAAATAAAAGGAGGACAAAAAAAAGTTTTGATTTCCATATTGCCAAGGCGAATGTGAGGAAAGTTTGTAGAAGTACGGTGTCATTACAAACACTTTGTTCCTAGGTGGTCATATGGCGTCATTCTCTGGGAGATTGCAACTCTTGGTAAGATTTTTTAATTTTTATTTTTCTAGTACCCTTTGTTAACATATTCCTGACAGACCCGATAATTTCCAGTAGTTTGTTATCACAGATTTTCACGGTCGTCAAAATGTAAGCGTTAAACGAAGAGTATGTTTACTTATTGAAGTTTGATTGAGAAATAACGTTATTCTTCATTGTCTTGAAAATGATTCACCTGTGTAACGAGCAGTCTTAATCGACTTCTAGATAATTAAGACTCGCTTTTCAAAAAAAAATAGTAAGAAGATTTAGCTTGATGTTAGAAACGATTTGTTTTAGGTGGTTTTCCCTACCGCGGCATCAAAAACAGCGACCTTCTGACACTGCTAGAAAGAGGATACAGAATGGAAAAACCAGAGACGTGCTCAGAGGAGTTGTGAGTAGCATCAATATGGTGGGAGGGGTGGTTGAAAATTGGATTC